TGAAGTCCACAAGTCTTAAAGTGCCAAGCTTGGTGAGCCCTGCTATACGGTGACAGAGCTATAACTGAACTTAAATTCTGCACCACCTTTTTCTCTTCTTATCTACCATCATCTTGTTTACAACACTGAATTTGGCTAAATTCTTATTTAGAATAAATTCTGTAAAATAGAGGAGTTTTTTGTTTGTTATATTTAAATATACTACTTGCATTTTTATAGAAAAGGTGATACTTTTAATACTTTTCTTTAGTTGTAAACATTCAGTCAAAGCAACATAAACGTAGAAGAACTTTTTAAAAAATTCTAAACTCTCTTGCCAGTGAATTGGCACCTTCGAATATTGTTGTAAACTACTTTGAGTGCTTATACAAGCAGAAATGTGGGTTATAAATTTAATAATAAAATACAAACACTGCATTTATGGTGTTGCATCCATTATGTATCTTCAGATTAGTTGCTAGGAGTTCAAGTAATATTAAGCCGTAGCATGTTTTGATTGTGTACATCCATTCATTGCTTCAAATCAATATATAGCTGCAATTGTTGCTTATTTAAAAAGCAAGGCAAGTATATTATTTAGTTAAGACATCAGATTAGAAACTGAGATAGTGAGTTCTACTTTAACCGTAGGCATGAAGTCAACTAGGTAATCTTTGGCCAGTCACTCTCTCTCAGCCCTAGTAAGCAGACATTGGCAAACTGCTTCTCAAAAACCTTGCCAAGTAAACTTCAGGAATTTCTCCAGGTCTTAAAAATTAACTAGAAGACACACACACAAAGCATATATTACAGTATTGTGGAAACTTAGTCACAGGCATCATGTACTCCAAACAATTCCAGATCAAATAACAGTAATGGGAATTGGTTTGACAGGTCAAAAAATAAAATACAATACATGTTTCAGGATGATTATGTCATTAAATGAGATCTCAATACTGGTCAGAGAAAGGAATAGATGAAGTGGGGAGAAGTAAAGAATACCATCACAGTGCAAATCAGAAATTTTCATAGAACAACATTGAGGGATCTGCAATGAGAAATGCAGCCTGCCACAAAACCATTATTGATTTGCAACAGATGCCACAATGATAGTTCATAAGTTTGTGTCTTGACATGGCATGTATATTTGGATGTCATCTCACTTTGCTGTTGATACTTGTGTGCAATTAAAATCCATTTAATTAATGGGCCCATTCAGTACTCTTGTATCCCTAGTGGAGTTATTTATAACATTAAGAAAGACAAGATATAACTAAATATAACTAAAATAACTATATTCCAAAATAGCCTGCTGTGTTTTATTTTTGTATTCTGTCCATAAGCATTAGAATATATACAATTAGTCTTGGTAGAATAATTATGAAGGCTACTGTAAATATGTGCTTGGATCAAAGAAAACCGCAAGGGGGAAAACCAGGGACAGGAGCCAGAGTTTACTTCAGACTATAACAACTTTTGACCAGAATTCCAAGCACATTCCTATTTATGGAAAAGCGAGAGCTACTATCGCGACCTGACTTTCTCTGTCGAGTAATTCCTGTTCTATTGAATTGCCAAGGGGGGCGCTACCCTTTTTACCCAACTGTTCTAAGGCTAACTCGACTGAGCTTGCTTTTTTGCGCTAATGCGTAATGTAGCGAAGTATGAAACTATTGGCTGCCTCTCTGACCAATTGCGCTCCTCTCGTCTCTCGGAGGCGTTCCTCTCTCCTCCGCAATTGGGCAAAAACTCCCCAGTCGCTGCTCTGAGACTAAAACTCGGCTTTTCGTGGGCGGGAGAGGAATTGCGATTGGTTCCGCCAGGGGAAAAGGGGGATTGGCAGCTTTGAAGCCGAGCGGGGCTGGCGATTCCCGGGAAAGCCAAAGCGACCTTCCCTTTTCTGCGCTTAGGATTTGATTGCTGTGAAGGGAATCCCTAGAGAGAGCTTTAGAGATTGAGCCATGGAGAAAGTGTTGTGCTCTGCTCACGGTGAGGTCGTAGGAGGGTGGACGACGGGGTTATGAGCAGGAAACCTTGACCGAGAATGGCTTGTAAAATTCGGAGGTGATTTCCCCCACCCTCCCGTCAGTTTTTTTTCATAATAATACTTATGCAGCGCCAGAAAAAAAGGCAGGTAGATTAATACATAACGTAAATATATGCAAGTTAAAAAAAATGTTTTGGTTCTTAGAGAAAGTTTAAAACATTTGCTTCCTGGTTTGAAGTATTAAACGGCTCCCCTCCCCCGCCCCATTTACAGAAAGTAAAAGCCTTTCCTAGTCACACCATAAGCAGAAAATCTTTTTTTTCCCCCTGCTTTAGGGCACTACTATAATACAAACAAGCTTCATTCGATGAAATCAAATCTTGATATTGATCAAGGAAATTTTTGCTTGTTCAAGAGGGAATAAAATAATGGTAGTGGAAAGATTTCATATAGGTGTCAGATCCGTGTATCTGCCATTATTCAATGGAAGAAGAACAGGGAGGGAAGTCGGTATAAGTAATCCTTTTTGATGTAGTCTGAATATATTAAATCTAATATTGAATTTGTATAACCTACACATGATATACAACTGAAGGTTGGGGGCCAGATGTCCAGAAACCTATCACCTCTTGAAGAGACAGCAAGGGCAGAAGGGACCATAAAAATTCTACCTCTGGAAGATTAAGTCCTGAGAAACTCTTCAAAAGATCGTTCCCAAAGAAGGGAAGGGGGAATTAACACGGGTCTTTGTTTGACAAAATACACATCAAGATAAGGGGAAGGGTTCTAACTTCCCTTATCTACCACTGCATGCCTGGGAGCCTTTAGACTTTGCTTTGAATCCTGCTGGAATCATCTTATTTCAATAAAGAATTCCTTTTGAAATATCCAGTGATCAGAAGTTCATTCTGTCTGGGCTCGCCACTGGAGCGCCCCGAGCCGGCTGGTTTCGGGGCTAAGCGACCCCATAGAGGTGGTGAAGAGTGGGGAGACCGCCAGCAGGGTTGAGGAGAGCTGCATCTCTCCTCCTCAGCTGCCCATTAGTCCCTTTCCCGAAGGCAGTTGCAGCAGTGGTCAGAAATGGCCACCACAAAGAAGAACTCGACCGGAAAAGAATGTGCAGGAGGAAGAGAAGAAGTGAAAGCTTTGGCTGACTGGGTTAAATTGTAAAAGCAACAACTAAGGTACCCTGGAATTTAAACTTACAAAAAATAACATCGCTCCCAAAGAAGAGTCAGAAGCAGCGAAGGAAAGTGAAAAGGGAAAGGTTTGGCTTTTTTTTTCTTCTCTCTCCTTCCCTATACTGACAACTAAGAGACTTAAATAAGAAATCGGAAAAATCCAGTTTGACATCAATAGGCAATTAAGCTGAAAATAAAACAAAATGCCAAAGGGATAATAAAGGGACATTAAAATTTTTCTTTTTTATAAGCAGGAAGAGAGAGAAAAAGAATAAGGGCAGGATCTGGAAGAGGGAGGAGACTGCCTGGAATTAAAAAGAATCTACAGTAAAACTTCAACAAGACTTCTAAAAGATACATTTTAACTGAAACTTTGCAACTAAATAGTAACCCCAGGAAGAGAAAGTGAAAATAAAAGAGCAAAAAAGAAACAGCTTGCATGTATTTGGATTATTTGGTGATTTTTGGATTCTTGGTTATTATATTTGAATGACTAAAATTAATCGGGTGGTTGTTTAAAAATTTATACAATGGCACCACTTCTGGATGAATTGAAAATGGAACTTAAAAAGTACAAAGAAGATGCACAAGAAGGAAAGGGTTCTTTTGGCTTTGTTTTTCAATTCTTAGAAATGGAGATTTGGAACTATGTGAAGCAACAAGAAACAACTGCAAAACAAAAAGACTGGGACAAAGAAGAAGCCATCTTTAATGAACAAGCAATTTTACGTGGGGAAGAAAAAGGAAAGGGGGGAAAGAGAATGGAGAATTTAAGACTTAAAAAAACAACCAAAGAAAAGAAAAATAATTCAAAAAAATAAGTATAATACTGGAAAGCAACAGAAAAGGGGAATACAGAAGAGAGAAATAGAGGTAGAGAGACAAGGGGGTAAAAGGGGAGAGAGAAGAAGAGAGGGAAGAAGGAAAGGAAAAGAAGTTACAAAGGACCGGAGCAAGATATAGAGAAACAACCTATTTAGAGATAATGGGTAAAAATCTAACTGAAAAAGGGATTCTGTAAAGGTACATAAGATTGTATTGTTATATTAGTGATAGAAATAACTTTAGAAAATTGGAAACAACATATGATTAAAATGAGGGATAAAATAGTGTAATTTAGTGAAATGTTTGTG